TTCTTATCTCTTTTAATTGGGTCTATTTTTGCTATTGTTTTCTCTAGTTTCTGTACTGCCTTTTTTTACTTGAGCTGAAGCATAATAGATTCTGCTCTAGCCCTTTATTTTGACTCGGTGTATATATATCTGTGTGTTTTAAATGTGTTTCTTGCAAATAATATATGATTGCATTTTGATTGCTAATCCATTTTGTTAACTGCTTCCATTTTATAGGTGAATTCATCCTTTACACATGCACTACTAATTGTAAATTTCCCTCCATTCTATTCTCTTAGATTTTTCCTTGCCTTTTCCCTCTGCCCCCTAGTTTGCTATGCTTCTGACTAATCCCTTCTGTAATTTACCCTCTGTCTTCTCCTGCCCCCACTTTTTTCCCTGGTCCCTCTTTAAAAGTGTTTTACTTCTGACTACTTTATTAATTTACCTTCCCTCCTATTTTCCACTCTTTCCCTCCAATTTCCCTGTTGGCTAAGATGTATTTTTATACTCAGCTTTGTGAATTTGTGTTTTCTTCTTTCCTTTAAAAGTTTAGATGAGAGTAAGGTTCAAGTATAGCTCATTTCTTTCTCCCTCTCCCCCATCCCCCCATCCCCTTTCCTCTTCATTGTATAGACTACTACTTGTATACATTATTTATGTGAGATAATTTTCTTCATTCTTTCTCTCTCTTACCCTCTCTCTTAGGTTGTTCCTCTTCCTTACACTTTTCATTCTTCTTTTGAGATTATCAGAACATAACAATCACTGTCAGGCTTTCTCTCTAATTACACTTCCCCTCAAGGACTTTTTGACCCTTGCTTGATGATGATAAAGTTCTGAGGCTACATATATCATCTCTGCACATAGGAATGTAAACAGTTTAACCTTGTTTGGTCTCTTATGATTACTCACTCTCTCATGTTCACCTTTTTATGTTCTTGACTCCTGCGTTTGTATGTCAGATTTTCTACTCAGCTCTGGGGTATTTTCATCAGGAATATTTAGAAGTCCTATGTATTTCATTGAAGTTCCATTTCTTCCCCTGTAGGATTATACCTAGTTTTTCTGAGTAAGTTATTTTTAGTTGTAAACCTAGATCATTTGCCTTCTAGAATATCATATTCCAACCTCTGCTCTTCTGTATGGTTGTGGCTGCTAAATCTTACATCATCCTTACTGGTTTCTAAGTATATGAATAGTTCTTTCTTTTTGGCTGCTTGCAGTGTTTTTTCCTTGACCTGGGAGCTCTGGATTTTGGCTCTGATGTTCCTAAGAGTTTTCATTTTGAGCTTTCTTTCAGAAGGTGACTGGTAGATTCTTTCAGTTTCTACTTTTTCTTCTGGTTCTAAGATATCTGGTTTTTATGGTTTTCAGATAGTCTAGTGATTTTAAAATTCTCTCTCCTTGATCTGATTTCTACATCTGTTGTTTTTCCTATCAGGTACTTCATGTTTTCTTCTGTTTTTTCAGTCTTTTGACTTTTTATTTCCTAATATCTTATGAAGTCATTAGCTTCCACTTGGCCAATTCTAATTTTCAAGGAGTTATTTTCTTCAATAAGGTTTTATACCTCTTATTCCAAGTTATTAATGCTCTTTTCCTATCTTCCTTAACTCTTACTTCTTTCCCTATTTTTTCCTCCACCACTTTCATTTGTTTTTTAGTGTCATTTTTTAGTTCTTTTTTTTAAAAACTCTTTCTTTTTTTCTGGCAATTGGGGTTAAGTGACTTGCCCAGGGTCACATAGCTAAGTAAGTATAAAGTGTTTGGTCTGAGGTCAGGATTTGAACTCAGGTCCTCCTGACATCAGGGCCAGTGCTCTATCCGCTACACTACCTAACTGCCCCTTTTAAACTATTTCTTTAAGTCTTATAGGAATTCTTATTGGACTTGTAGCCAAACTCTCTTTAATTTGAGACATTGCATGTAGATGTTTTTGAGTAATTCTCTTCTTCTGAGTTTGTGTCATGAGCTTCCTCGTCACAATAATAGCCTTTTATGATTAGGTCTCTTTTTTGTTTGCTCTTCTTCCGATTTACTTCTTGGCTTTGGACTTTATGTTAGTGTTGGACTTTACACAATTCTGGAAGTATAGGCTGAACTTGTGTCCTCTTTTGACCTTCTGCTTTCACAACTCAGATTAGGAGGGAGCTGTAAACTTTCTGTGCTCCTAAAGTGATGTGATCCAAGGTAGGGTCTGCTCACTGCTCTTCTGGTCTCAGTTCTGTAAGTTCCTGACCTGGGTTTGGATATATCATTTGTCCCTGGTTGGGAGTTTCAGGAGACTAGTGCTAAACTCTGCCATTGTTAGCCTGCTAGGAAGCTCTGTTGATTCAGAGTGACTGCACTGCAGGCTTCACTTTGGTCTGGGACTCCTGCCCTGGTTATTCTACTGCAGGTTTCAGCCTGAGCTGGAGGCTAAGACTGAATCCCTCCTCTGTTCCTGGGATCAGAGATACACAGTTATGATTTGCTTTCAAACTTGTTCCTTACTTACTCATTGCATAGCTAGGGCCCATGTTCTCTGCCTTGGATCTGTGATCAGAAACTTGGTAGTGGTCAAGAAAGCTGCCAGATGGCACTCAGACCTGTGCTCTGTGCTTGTTCAGAGATCCCCTAGCATTTCTTTCTGCCCCATTCTTCCTGCCTGGGTGCTTATTTTTGGCCTTCTTTCAGTCACTGGGTTCTGGAGTACTTTCTTCCACATGCTCCTGGCCGGACTCTGTCCTCCTCAGTGTCCAAAGACCTCTCTATCTCCCTGAGGTCCTATAGTCTGGAGAAATGACTCACTGTAATTTTTTTTTCTTGGTTTCTCCCATCAGAATCTGCTCTTGTATGTTTTCCAGATTTTTGTAGAGGAGATACAATGCTGTATTGCTAGGTGATAGGCTGTATTGCTTCCTGTTATTCAGCCATCTCAACTCTACCCCTCCAGGATTATCTTTAATGCCACCTTTTATTAAATTGTGCTGCCTCTTTATTTCTTAGAGTCTGCTTCTTTTCTTGTCTTTCCCTAAGGTTATGCTTGCCCTTAGAATATAAGTGATGAAGTTGAAAATCCTTTTTCATTTGGTGTGCAGCCATTAGCCACATTTAGTACCTCTATAATTGCATAGTCATAATCCTTTTTCTCGAGTTTTGTTAATCCTCCTAGAATTCATTACAATATTGAAAATAACTCATTGCTAACTCCATTTAGATCATCCCTATCTCATTATTTGTCCATTTCAAAGCTTGGCTATGTTGCTAATGCAGTTTGTGACTTGAGGCGAATCCTTTGACCTCTTTGGTCTTCATCTGTGAAATCAAGTTACTTTCCAGTGCTGATTTTGAAGAAAGCATTTTGTGATTTTTTAAGGTATTTTTGTTGTTCTCAGAATGCGACTTACATATTTTTCCTTAGTGCTTTGAATGTGCATTTAATTTGTTCCCACTTGGAATGTTCTCCCCCAACTTCTTAGCTAATCTATGTCAAATCCTTTAACCTGGCCCTTCCAGGAGACTGTGGTAGCCTTGTTCTTCACTTCCTCTGTCTGTAGATCTTGGATTATTTTTGTTACCTGGATCTGATAGGTACTTAATCAATACTTGTTGATTGTTATACCTAAAAAAACCCCCAGTCATTGAGTACCTGTTATGAACAGAGTGGGGAAGGGGGCGGTGGGGGGGGGCAGTGGGAATTGAGAGAAAGTAGGATGTTAGAAACATTGGGAAGTTAGTACAAGAGCTGGTGACTGAAAGGAGGATTGTAGGATGATTCCAAAGTTTTGAGAGGGGTTGCCAGAAATAAGGAAGTCAGGAGGAGTAGTTGATGTGTAGGGGAAGATAATTGGTTTTAGACATTTTGAGTTTATACTTAAATGTCATTGAATTCCAAAGTATTGGAAAAGCATCTTGTTTTATTTAGATTTGGAAGAGAACCTTTTTTTTTTTTGCTTACCATTTTTATTATTTTTTTTTCTTTAAAGTTTTACGTAAGCCTTTTGTCTTTACATCACAGGCATTTCTGGGTATATTCCCTCTCTTGCACCATACCCATTAGTCCTTCTTTGAAGCAAAGAAAAAAATCAGTTAAATAAAACCCATCACATTGACCAGATTTAACAGAGTATGTAACAATGCATATCACCTCTCCAGCAAAAAAAGGAGGAAGGTTCATTAATCATCTGGGGTGAAAGTTGGTCATGATAATTATGTAATGTTTAGTTTCGTTTTATTGTTCTTTTTATTTACATTACTGTAGTTATTTTACATATTATTTCTCTGGTTCTATTTATACATCAGTTTTTACATGTTTCTTTGAATTCATATTCATTGTTTCTTAAGGTGCAGTAACATCCATTGTATTCGTATTATTACAGTTTGTCCATCATTACCCAGTTGTTGGAAACCCACATGGTTTCCAATTATTTGCTACCACATAAAGTGTTGCTATAATTTTTTTTGTATTTGTGGGAACTTTCCATCTTTGTACATATGCCCAGTATATACACTTCTCATTTGACAGATGAGAAAACTAAGATCCGGAGAAGTTCAGTGATTTGTCACAGGTGAGCCAACTGGTTCACATCAGAGCTGAGACAAGAACCTCTTTCTTCTTGCTTTTCCCAGTCCAGTTCTCTTTCCACTATAACGCACTGCCTTCTTTTTTTGGAATGTAAATACTTATGAAAATTTAGTTTGTTTTTATTTTCTTTATTTTGAGAAGGAAAAAACCTAACAGATTACTATCACAATAACTTAAGGCCAATTTACAAGTTATTAGTTCTAGGGAGAAAAGCTTGTTAGTTAGGTTTCAAGTATAATTTAAAGCGTGGATTCAGAAAAGGGTGATGCAGAACACAATGTTTGTTGTTGTTAATGGTGAAAATTGATTTTGATTTGTGTCCATCTAGCTCATCTTTGGTGAAATAGTATAATGTGTGAAGCTGTTTCTGTCATATGCAATGCTTAAAATTTTAAGTGCTTATTTGAAGATTTTCCTATTAGTAACCTAATTTATTTTTCTTTTTTACTAGTTTCTTAAACAATTAGGTCTGCATCCCAGCTGGCAATTTGTTGATGTGTATGGTATGGAACCTGAACTCCTTAGCATGGTGCCACGACCAGTTTGTGCAGTATTGCTTCTCTTTCCAATTACAGAAAAGGTAAATGTTTGCTAAGACAAAAATTCTTTTTTTTTATTGTGAAATTAAAACTATGGTTTTTTTTGAAATAGATATCATTTGTTTTCCTAAAATTAGCAGTTAGCATGTCCTTCTGAGAGGCAGATTTTATAGTGGATAGAATGGGAACCTGAAATCAGGAAGATTTGGATTCAGGTACTTCCTCTGATACTTATTAGCTTTGTAACCATAGTCAAATTACTCATCCTCAGTTTTTCAGTCTGCAAAGTGTGCATAATAACCTGTAATAACTCATAGAGTTGGACCATTAAATAAGTGAATGCATATAAAATGCTTTGTAAACTTTAAAATACTATGTAAATTTCAGCTATCATTATTATTATTATTATTAGGACATCTGAAAAAAATAGTTTAATTGATCAAATAGGATTTTCAGATCCTGATATTGACATTTATAGTTCAGCATTAGGATCAGCCCTCGTGGGGCTAGTTAGACCTATTGTTTCCCTGGCATGGGGAATACCTAGTTGAGGAAATTACCTATGCAGGTTGATACCTTCTCTGCAACATAAAATCTTAGAGAGTTGCCTAGGGCTCAAAGAGTTTATTAACTTCTGGGTCATTTTCATCGTATGTAAAATTGTAATCATATAAATTTCAAATCTGTGTTCAATTTTTTATAAAGTATTCCATACTGTATTTAACCAAGATATGTGCTGATAGGAAACAATCCAAAGTAGGAGAATCAAGAGAAAGGAGTAGGGTCAAGGAGGATGAGGACCAAGAAAAGGCCTTTGATTTTTATTTTGATTGAGAGATCATTGGTGACTTTTGAAAGTGGTTTCATTGGAGTGGTGGTGGTATCCAGATTGCAAGAGATTGAAGAATTATGAAGATAAGAATTGGCCAAAGTCCTGGAGAGGTTGGAATTAACATATATGGTGGGGTTAGTCTTGGAAAAGAAGCAAGAAGCTTTTCTCTGCAGAGGAATACAGAGAAATGTTGAGGTGGAGATAATGGAATTTGAAGGAATTCACCTTAATCTTTTCAGTAAAGTAGGAGGTAGGGTCATCTATAGAGAGAGTAAGGTAAAAGCAGATGATCTGGTTTTCAGAAGTGGAGAATCAGTGTAACTGTTGATTTGAGAAAAAGTTTGGAATATTGCTGTAGGGCTTGATAAAGTCTACTGAAGAAGAAAGGATTACTGAAAAGTTTAGGTATGTAGCATTCATTTGTAATAGGGGCATTTGGCTTGATTTTCTGACTTTTTCCAGTGAAGTTCCAGTGAACTGTTGAACCACTGAGGATCAGAGTAAATAGACAGTAGGCTTCATCAGGATTTGTGGCTGTGTAAGGGGGGGCAGTATATAATAGAATAAAAATTTTAGAAAGAACATTATGAGATGTCTAACTGTGGGGATCATATTGGATAGGAAATGGAAGTGAAATCAAAATTGGTCCTATATAAAAGTCGATGGCAAGGTCAAAGAATTGGTGTTCATAGTGAGGGTAAAAGCAAGACAGAGTGGCAGAAGGGATGGGTAGTTGTGGTCAGACAGGAGAATGTTAGAGTTCTAGACCTTGAAGGTAGAGTAGTTGTGAGAGATATCAAGGTGTGGCTATTTTTGTGGGCAGAAGTGTAGGTGGAGGAGATCAAGGATATGTGAAGTCTGGATTTTAGAGATCATTACACACATGTAGTTTATTTCTTGAGTGCAATCTGATGAATGATCTGGCCTTTGAGAAGATTCTTGGCATTAAGAAAGTAAATTGTCCACATCTAAAGGAAAACACAGTTCTTTAAAGAACTAAACTGAAACTGCTATTTCTTTTTGTTGTTTCTTAGAATTTGATAGATCACTGATTTCACTGAAAAATAATTGTGAGGGAAAAAAAAGTGATCTGTAGCCCCTAAATTTTTCACTGCTTCACAGAGATTAGCAACAGTAAAAGAATAGGAATGGAGAAATCCAGATGTTGACATGAGAGAGTGTCCAAGAAAGATACTTGGAGTAAAACACAAATGTCTAGATATAAATGCACAAAGTACGTGTAACAAGCAAGAGGAAAAAGAGTTCTTTGCACAAGTTGTCCCGGATGAACTATACATACGTACTGTGTGGTACTGAAACAATTGGTGAATATCACTGACAGTTTAGTCACTGTCAGTGGTTTTTGAAAGAGAATGGAGAATGGGACGAGCACTGAAGAACTGCAGAGAAAGGCAGAAGTTTTACTGATTTTTAGAAAAGGAAAGAAAAGAAAGTAGAATCTACAAACTATAGATCATTATAGATCATACTCTGGTTCTTGGCAAAGTTCTAGACTATATTAAAGAGATGGCTATTGGACATGTGAAAAAGGAAGCAGGGAATCACAAGAAATCAAATCATGCTAGACTAACCTTTTTTCTTTTTTTGATAGTGTTACTTAAGTGGTACTTCCGAGAAATTCTGAGTAGAGTTTATGAAATTTTAGTGAAGTATTTGGTAAATTTTCTTGTTCTGTTTAAAAATGTTTTATGCTTTTTTGTTGTTGTTGTTAAAAAGTGCTATCATTATTCGATGATTTGCCCTTTTTGAACAATAGAAAGTTTCCTCATAACAATGAAGTGTCTGACGATGTATGTGTCTCGCTCTGTACCTAGTTTCCTGTCTGTTGTGCAAAGAGTTGAGAGGTTCATTTCACTGTCAGTCCTTTGAATCCACAATTGGTCATTCATCAAAGTTCTCATGTCTTACAGTGTTGTTTTCCTTCATGTTGTGTGGTCATTGAATAAATTTTCTTTTTGTCTGCTTATTTCACTTTGCATTAGTTCATAAAGTCTTCCCAAGTTTTTTTGTATTTGGTTTTGTTTTGTTTTGGTTTGTTTTTTTTGGCTAGGCAATGGGATTAAGTGACTTGCCTGGGGTCAAAAGCTAGTAAGTGTCAAGTGTCTGAGGCCAGATTTGAACTCAGGTGCTCCTGACTCCAGGGCCGTGCTCTATCCACTGCGCCACCTCGCTGCCCCCTGATATTTACTTTATCTTGCTGTTCGAATATATTCATATAGCACCCTTTGTTCAGATATTGCCCAGTTGATCCTTACCCGTTAGTTTCCATTTCTTTGTTACTACAAAAGTTGAGCTACAAATTTTTTTTAATAAAATAGATCTTTCTGTTTTTAAGCCTCTTGAGGGGGCATCAGTAGCTTAAAAAGTAGTTATAATTCAGTGACTTCTAGGATAGTTCCAAATTGTTTTCCAGAGCTCTTGCATTGATAGTACATTAGTGTGTCTGTCTTCCCATAGGTCCTTCAACATTTACCATTTTAATCTTTTGTCACCTTTGCTAATATGGTCATGAGATGAAGCTTCATGTTGTTTATATAACTTCTCAAGTTATTAATGATTTGGTGTGTCATTTAATATTCTTAACAATTTGCATTTGATTTGGTGTATTTAATATGCTTAATAATTTGCACTTATTTTCATGTTCCTTTTATACAAAAGGTGGAAAGATATGGGCTAGACAGTAATACAGTTTGTTGTTTTAGAACAGGTAGAATGTCAGTGATGTGATGTTGACTTGGAAGAATATCTCTAGTGGAATGGCCCTGTACTACATCATGTTTTTATCAGTTTCTTGGATAAGGCTTAGATGATATACTTATCAGGTGACCAGAGGTCATAAGGCAGAGAGGGATAGCTATTACACTGAATGCTAGAATCCTGAAAGATCTTGACAGGCCAGAACATTGAGCCTAATAAAATATAAAATATGCTCAGCTATATCTGTGATCTTATTGGTGAGGTTATTCCCTCCAGAGTTAGAGATCACAATCTGTTTATGCCTGCCCATCTGCACAGCTGTTGTCCATAATATGTCATAAAGTCACCACAGAGCCTCCACCTAGTGATGCAGCAGTTTGTCACCTTCTCTTGACATCTCAAGGATGCCAACAGAACACACGGGCTTTTGGCTAACCTTTGTGCTTGCCATGGGACCTGTTTTATTAATTTTCACTTGAATTTCTTTGATGACATCCTTTATTCTACTTCTTCTTCATAATTTCTTGGCTCATACTTATTCTACACCTCTTCATTTCTCTTGGGGTAAGCCTTGGTTTCAGTTCTTTGGAGACTACAATGTTCAGAAAAAAATACTTAAATACTTAAATACTTAAAAATACTCACTGTCAGAAAAAAATATTTAAAAAGATCGATTTTTTGTTTTAGAGAGAAAATTTCAGCATTAAGGAAGCTTTGCAATTTCCTGAAGACAGTTTAGCAGTCAACACCAGATCATCCACCAACAAGAGCATCTAAATGATCACAAGCTCCTCTTTGAAGGGGTAAACAAAGGAGTTGGTGGCATTTATTTTTACTGTATGTCCAAGTGTGATAAGAAACATCATTTCTTGGACTTTTTAGTCATCTAATATTATAGTGCTAAGTATTTGCAAGACCACCATGAAGGTGATTACAATTTGTGTGTTAATTATGTTTCAGAGGATGAAGAGGTAGAGAAATCCTATTAAGAATTTGATAAGACCTCCAAATTAAGTAAAACATACTTTGATACTATGTGATTTTAATGCAAAGATGTGAATATTTTAAGTAAAGGCGGCAAAAACATGCATTGGAAAATATGGGTCAGGAGAAGGGTCAAAGTCTTATAGGTGATGCAGAGCTTCATGCCTATACAGTGCTCAACATGGTAAACACTGACAACATCACAGAAAATGAACTTGCTTATATTTTGAAAGATAGGAAGTGACTCTTTACTGATAGATTTCTTCCTGGATCAGCCTTCTGTGTATAGTCAGACCACCACCTTGTCAAAGCAAATATAAAAAATGAACATAATAGGTAAAAGAAAGTAAAAATTCAATAGAGATAAACACATAGTTGGATTTAAAGGATTGACTTTACAAGTACACTATGGAGGAAAAAGTAACTCGTCTGAAAAAGATGGGGGTGTTGTACACTGCAAGCTCAGTGAGTCCACAGTGGTATGGAAGCTAAAAAAGCTTGTGTGATGTGAGGGACACGGATTCCAGGACGAAGGAGATGACAGACCTGTTGTACTCTGCCCTTGTTAGGTCTTGGCAGAGTATTGTGTTCAGTTCTGGGCCCTACATTTAGGAATTACATTGAACTGTAAGATTTAAGTTGGTTGAATGCAGAATCTCTTTCTTTTATATGTATATATAATTATTTATATATACATATATTTATATATGTATTTATACACATATGAATGTGTGTGTATAGGTATATGTGTATACATGTACATATCCGAGTGTGTGTATATATCCAAGGTGCTTAACATAGTTCCTCAGACGGAGTCGTTCAGTCGTTTCAGTGGTGTCAACTCTTTATGACCCCATTTGGGGTTTTCTTGGCAAAGATATTGCAATGGTTTGCCATTTTCTTCTTCAGCTCCTTTACAGATGAGGAAACTAAGGCAAATAGGGTTAAGTGACTTGCCCAGGCAGATTTGAATTCAGGCTGTAGCAAGGGCTCATAGCAAAGGTCACTGATCCTCGGGATCACAGGCCATGGAGGATTGTCCTGTACCACCACCCACTTAGTGTTCTTTGGTGCTCAGCCGGGACTTCCCTGGGAGCCTTGTTAGTGATGGTCAGGGAAGGAATACAAAGTCTTTACCCCATAACAAGCCTCTGATGAAGTGCTTTTTCTTTTTTCTGTAGGGGTTTGGAAAACACTTAAGGCTAGTTCTGGGTCATCTTCCTCTGCATTGCCCATGCTCTACTTCAGCAATATCATTCATTTCTATCATTCTATGCATGACCATACCAATTGTTCTGGGCTTGACCAGTCCTCTGGTAGTTTATGTTCCATTTTGGAACAAAATGAGACAGACGCTCAGATCTTTCAACAGTTAATGGAAGATTTACTTACCTATGGCAGGGGAAAGATATCTGATAAGGTTATGCAGCAAAGGACACCTTGTTGATTCAGCCCAGTGAAGCTCACTTGTCTCAGCTGCCAATTGTTTTCCACCAGTCACACATTGGAGAACACCTGGAGCAGGATTCTTGTGACTGCTTTGAATTTAGGAAACTAAGAAGTGATGTCAGCAGCCTGAGCCTTGAGCCCTTTGAGTCATAACAAGACATGAGGAGACTACTTTTATGGAGCAGAACATGGCTCCCTACCAGAGCCCCTGTTAATGGAATTCAGAAATCTTGGTTTGAATAAAGTAGACATTATCTCCAAATAATCTTCTTTACTACTCCTAATGCAATTGATGTTTCTAATTGGCTTTTATTATTATTCTGATCAGTATAGAAAATATTTCTATTCTAGTTTTAAGAGATTTTAATAGGGATATTTTGAATTTTAGAGACTGGAAACATTAAGACAATTTGCTATATGTGTTCATCTAAAGAAAATCTGCCTCATTAATTATAGACAATTTACTGACTTAGTAAGGAGTCATTGTGACTGGAAAATAGCCTATCAAATCTAAATAACTCTTAGAGTTTAACTTTGAAGGGAGTATTTCACATTAGTTTTTAATCATTATTAAAATTTTTAATTTTCCATAAGCCCCTGTGCGTTATTTTCTTAGACTTAGTTTTAAAAGAACTTTGTTGGGAATTTTTGTGAACATAAACAAGGAAGTAAGTCAATTGAAATACTTTTCATTTCCTTAGTGTTAAGATTTTGAAAAATTTCAGTTAGTTCTGAAGTTAGTTTCACCATTCATATTACGTTGATCCCAAATTAGGATGATTGGAGCACTTGGAACATTTTGAAATCCCAATCATTGACAGTTTTTGTCATTTGACTTGTATAATTTTTCAACTTAAGAAAATTCTTCAATAAAAGTATTTTTCTTAAGTATCATTTAGGATCCTGAAGTAGGCATTCTATTGTTCTGGGCTAAGACTAACTCGGGCCAGTTCTCTGGTAGTTTATGGTAAATATTGGAACAAAATGAGACACTTTTAGGTGATTCAGCCCTAAACAAAAAGAAATTTACTTAGCCTTTGCAGGCAACAATCTCAAGTTGATCAGCTGAGAGAAGCTTCCCTGTCTGAGTTGCTATCATGGCCTGACAACCAATCCTCACATAGCCAGCTGGGAGCCCCATGTTGCTGTCTTCTGTTCTGCCAACCAGAAACCCAAAGCCAATCAGAACCCAAAGATGGCCTCACTACCTTTTATGGAAAAAGGGATAGGATACTAGTCCTGTGGTTATGAGAGAATATATATTACTTTCCTCTCAGTAAGTTTCATCTAAGCCTGCCTATTCTCCAAAACTGTCATTTCTTAGGGAACAACATTTTATAACATTTCTATACCATAATTGTTTAGCCGTTTTCCAATAGGTGGGCACCCCCTTAAGTTTCCAGTTTTTGGCTGCTATAAATAGTTTTGTATATGCAATATAGGTCCTTTTCCTCTTTCTTTGATCTCTTTGGATCTCTTTGGATCAATATAATATCATAGCCCAAAAGCTTGGTGCTTTGGGGGCACAATTCCAAATTTTTTTCCAGCGTGTCTGGACCAATTCACAGTTCCACCAACTACATTAATGGGCCTGTTTTCCTGTAGCCCCTTCCCTTCAGTATTTGTCATTTTCCTTGTCTATCATCTTTGCAAATCTGATAGGTATGAGTAGAACCCTGGAATTGCTTTAATTCACAGTATTTAATGGTTGGAAGTAGTTTTTCATATGGTTGTTGATAGTTTAGATTCCTTTTAAAACTGCCTGTTAAGGAAGGGTATTGACTTTTAAAAAGAACATTTTATTTATCAAAAAACAGTCACATATATACGTACATTTATTATTATAATATCACAACATTTAAATTTTTCTTCTATGTATGCCCAATATAATAATAATAACGTTCAATAATAGGCTATATATATGCAAGGAATTTCAACTTTAGTTCATCTAATGTTTCTTAAGTTTTGTTTTCAGAGTACTGTACTAATTTTTGGGGAAAAGATGAAGGTCGGATATAACACAGTCATATCTTGATTAAATTAGGTAAACTCTCAATATCAGGTACTCTCTGGTAGCTAGGTGGCATAGTGGAAAGAGTATTGGCCTGGAGTCAGAAAGACCTAAATTCAAATTTGACCTCAGACACTTAATAGCCATCTGACCTGGACAGTCACTTATTTCTTTCTGCCTCTGTCTCCTGTGCTGTAAAAAGAGGATAAAAATAGCCTCTACTTCTCAGGATTGTTATGAAGATCAAATGATATAATACTTGTGAAGCCCTTAGCACAGTGTCTGGTACATATTATGTACTTAATAAATGCTTTTTTCCTTCCTTTCTTCTTCTCTGTAGTTTGCTTGAAGTAGCAGTTGAGTGGACAAAGCAAGTTAATGCAGGATAAGTTTAACATCAGCATTTCAGATTTTCTCCATTTTAGACTGGTGTATATAGTCAATGGTATTTGGCAGCTGAGGGGCACCAGAGCCAGGTGGTGATGACGTTATTTCACTCTCTACCATATGTACCTCAATTTCTCTCTTCTACTTTCTTTTTTTCTCCTTTTCTGTCTTCTGCTAACTTTCCCTCCTGTCACCTGCTAGCAGCATGTTAGGCCTTTGCTTAGCTTTACAAGTGAACTAGGAATAAAGAGGTTCCTGAACTGTGCAGTAGAGATTAACCTATATTTCATTTTTAGATTATTCCTATGAAGACTGACTTTTAACTTTAAACTTTAACTACTTTAAAAGTTCATGTGAATTTTTGAGTCTTTTTTTAAAAAATAAGTTTAATATAGCTTTCCTTTAGCCTGTTTATTGACATTTTGAGTGTAATAAAGGATTTAGTCTTAATTTTGTTTCAAGAAATTATTAATCCATGCCATATAAATAACTGGTGAATTTCTGTGTTTAATATATGAATGTAATATTGTTTGTTTTCCACCTACAGAATGTTGACCTTTTTTCCTCTTTTTAAAAAACAAAATAGTATGAAGTATTCAGAATAGAAGAGGAAGAAAAAATAAAATCAGAAGGACAAGATGTCACAGAATCAGTATATTTCATGAAGCAAACCATCAGTAATGCCTGTGGAACAATTGGGCTGATCCATGCCATTGCTAACAACAAAGACAAGATGAATTTTGGTAAATAATTTCTCGCTCCTGGTATTTTTTCTTTGTAGTTTTAAATTGATTGCTTTGGACAGTAGGTGGTGCTCTTACTCTAACTTAGAACTATGGTTAGCTAGAACAAGCTATTTTTTCTGTCATCTTTTTGCCAAAGGGAAGTCAGTGCTTGAATATAGCTTTATTTTTTCCTTCCTAATGTTCTACAGATAAACATATCCTTTCAAAAGAACAGTATAACGAGGAAAGGAAGGGAATAAGTATTTATTAAGCATATACTCTGTACCAGGCACTGTTCTAAATGACATAAAAAAGGTGATATGTCAGATTTACTGGGGCAACTAGAGCTCTGGCCTTGGAGTCAGGAAGACCTGAGTTCAAATCTAGCCTCAGACACCTAACACTTTTAGCTATGTGACCCTGGGCAAGTCACTTAAACCCTGATTGCCTAACTTTTAAAAAAAAATTTATACTAAAATTCCATTTTCTTCTTAAACATGTGTTCTCCATAGTTTTTAATACTCTTTTGAAAAAGTTCTGGCAAAAACTAATTAATTAATTAAGCAAGAAAGTGCTGGTATTTGAAAAATTAATGTTAATTTTTTTAACTTTAAAAGGTAAATCATACCACTTTTAAGAAACTTATTGTTCTCTCAAAATAATTGAATATTAGTGATAACAATGCTAGGGACTGAATTTTTACCTTTTGTTTACATGCTGTTAAAAGTCAGTTTTGAGATATATATATATATATACACATATATATGTATATGTCACACACACACACACACACACACACACACACACACACACATACACATTTACCTGATTTACTTGTGAAAGAATTTAGGACAGAGGATTTTATGTAATGGCATCATCAATTTTAAAAGTTAGAAAGTGATCATTCAGTCCAACCTCCTGTCCAAGGGATAAATACTTGTTTTAATATGCCTGATTTGAACAACTACAATAATAGTGACATATTACCTCATTAGGCAGCCCATTTTACTTTCAAACAGCTTTGATTGATAGGAAATTCTTCCTTATATTGACATAAAATCTGCTTCTCTGGAGCCTAGAAAAAGTGGGGTCCTTCAATCATTTAGGAACTATTTATGCTTTATCTGCTTTCCAAATAAAGGCTTATAGAAATTTCTCATTGTCATTTTTAATACTTTTAGAATCTGGATCAACATTGAAAAAGTTCTTGGAAGAATCTCTAAGTATGAATCCTGAAGAAAGAGCCAGATACCTAGAAAAATATGAAGTCAGTACCTTTTTATTATTTTTCATATACAGGTGACCTGTTCCAGAAGGACAATATATGTATATAAATATAAATGTTTTGTAACTATATTCAAGAGGTATTACTCTTACCTACCAATGGCCATGTGTAATACACCTTTCCTCTCTTCCCCTGGCCACTGTCAGGTACTGCTCCAAGCCAAGGCCTGAGGCAACAGCATTGGTGGTGGTATTGAAGGAGGGAAAGGTAAACCTCATAGTTCTTTCTCTCTTATTTGCTCCTTACCACTGCTACTGGCACCTTCAGTCCTAGCATTGGTCACCTCAGCAGTATTCCTATTCCTATCCTATTTTGTCACACTTCATCTAGACACTCTATACCTCTTTGATGCTTTTGGCCCTACAGCCCCCACCTTAGCTTCTGTGACAGTGCTTAAGAGAACATGAATCGGATTTTCCTCTAAAATGAGGTTAAAGTTTGTTCATCTTTGTATAAATGCCCATAATTAGCTCTTAGGTGTAACTTTGTTTTCCTTGGTGGGATATAAATGAAAGAAAAAGAAGAAAGAGGTCCATAGGAAGGTACCTTTTTATTCCCTGTTTTTCCTTTGTGGATTCTGTTTCTCAGAAGGCCAAGGAGGAGAAATGGAAGCAACCCTAGTTGGAAGCAACAAGTGGTAGCAATGCAGAATAAAACAAGTGGGCCAGTCTCTGGGGCTCAGGGAAGGAAAGGAAGGAAGAAAGGGGGTAAAAGAGCATCAGAAATACAACGAAGCATGTCTTGATAGCAGTTAATTTGAAAAAGACCTGGTGGTTTTAGTGCATTACAAGCTCAACATGAGTCAGCAGAGTAAAATGGCAGCTCCGAAAGTCAGTGTAATCTTAGTCTTTAAGATAGGCATTTTTTAAAAAAGGAGAGAGGAGACAGATTGATACCAAAACTTATTCTTGAGGGTTTAACTTCATCTTCCCAAAGCTTCTGTTTGGAGTCCCTCTTTTTAAATCTGATTCCACCTCACCCCCAGGCCTTTTTTCAAGCTCTCACCTGTTTTCAGCTATACCAGCTTCCTTCCACCAGTTCCACACTTACTCTTCTAGAACTGTTGCACTGGGAGCTGCCCCTGTAGTTTGACCCTGAAATAGTCTCTATGCTCACTGCTCAGCCTGTGGGAAAAGTGAGAGGAGGGAGGATTCTACAGACCTATTCCAAGGGTACATTATCAGTAAAGGGTAGGTAGGTAGTGGTTAGTGCTATGTAATGTTCTGTGTTGTACAAAATGTTTATTTATAGCCAGGTGTAGTACCTTAGTGGGTGTAACTATTAAACATTCCATATAACATCATAAAATTTACATTTAAAAAAATTGTTCCAATATACTTTATTCAAAACTATTGCTAGGAAGTAAAAGCAGCTTGTTCCAGAAGTTTTACTATATGCTTATTTTCTTCCTCCCTTCTTCTCTTTACCATTCTCTCTCTTAAACAAATATACGCCTGTCAGCACCCTCTATGTTCAATAGCATTTCAGACCTATCCAACAGAAGAGGGTAGGAACACATACTTTAAAGTCAAGCATTAGGCCATATACTAACTCCCTAATTAGTATATATTCTCAGTACTATTCCTAGACTTGTCCTGTTTTTGTTTAACAAATGGGTTACATAATTCTCCTTTTCAGTATTTCAGTGATTTATGTAACAGTAGAACTTAAAATTGAATCTTTTAAAATACAACTGATAAATTTAAATTTATTTTATTAATGATGCTTATTTTCTTATTTACCATGTTGTATTAAGTATATGTTGCCTTCTGAAAAGTAACACTTATTAACACAGATTATAACTTCCTTAAATACAGAAACCTGGTTCTGTGATTTTCCTATCTGCCATAGCATCCGTAGTAGACACTTGGTAATGTGTTGATTTGATCATGTTATTTCTGAATGCCAGCACACTTATGATTTTTTTTTTACTTTTGAAAAGCTGCAGATAGCATGCCAAGCATTTTTTTTAAATAATTCAAATTAACATGGTAGTTCCAAATTTCCTTGCTTGTGTGTATCCTCTTTAAAACCTTTTGTCTTTTTATGTTTCTTTTTAAGTGATTTATTGATATTCTTTTCTATCATTTTTATCCTTTATAGGATCTGCATGAATTATATTAATGACACATACTTTAAGTTCAAGTATATAATTTCATCCAGTTAACTACATCAAAATATGTCCACGTCTTGCTGTTCTTTTTTGTCCTCTTCTTTTAGATAGAGAGGAGTGACAATGACCAAATTGTCACATGGGGTGGGGTGTTCTTAATGGTGAGTTATGGAAACAAAGAGGTCTTTTTAGAGTTTTCATAGGATCTAGAGCAGGATGAGACCTTAGAAATCATTTAGCCTGTACCGCTTGTTTTACAGGTAAGAAAACAGAGGCCCTAAAGAGGTTAATTGACTTGACCAGTATCATGAAGATAGTAGGTTGCAGAGCCATGATTAGAATCGAGGTCCTTTGCCTCCAAATCTAGTGTTCTTTTCTTATTGCCACTCTATGTAGTTTGCTAATAGTCTTGAGTTATTGTTAAGAACCACTTTTTAACTCTAAAAGTTTAAATTCTTTATCATCAGAGAAACAGATATTTACAACACCACACTTGTGAGCTGATTGGTGATAGCATTGCACTTGTAAGAACTAATATATCTTGACCTGTGTTGGAGCATAGCTTGTTTATCTTTAAATACAAACAGATGAGGTAAGCCTTTTCGGCGTTAGCACCTTTCTTATGTTTCATTGAACAGTGCCTAAAATAAGCACCACCAATTCTGCTAGAGTCTGTCAGAATAAAATGAATTTGCTGATGAAGTGGTTTCATTAATTAACTCAGATAAGTATATGTTGTTTATGTCTAAAGGTTATTAAAAATGCTATAATTTTCTGATTTGCAGAGAACAAGACTGAGCTTTTTCTGTGGGTCTGGGATGACATAGTGTTTTAGTTAAGGTACTCATATGTTGCTATGAGGCACCTAACTGGGAAGCCTTTTAGACTTTTGGAAAGGACTGCAGAGGTCATTTAGCACTACCTAAACCTGAAGTGTCCACTAGAACATACCCAACAAGTTTATTCATCCTGCCTCTGCCTAAAGACATTGAGTAATTACTCAAGTCACTTTATCACCTTATCTTTTGGGGCTTAAGCTTTCTTACCTGTGAAATGAGAGGGTTGAATATGGTTTAATGGAAAGAGAACCTGAATCAAATCCCATCCTTATTACTTACTACTTAAGCTCTTGGGGAATTGCTTCAGTTCTCTGGGCATCAATTTCTTTATCTGTAAAATGAAGGGGTTTGGCTCCATGACCTCTATCATCTCTCGGTTATAGATGTATGATTCTAGTAGGTCTAAGGTTCTTTCTGTCTCTATATCCTATGAGTATAACCTGAGGCAGTACATTTCATTTTTTGGACAGCTGTAGTTGTGAGCAAGTGTTTTCTTATATTGAACTGAAATCTGCCTCCCTCCAACTTTTACGCATTAATCCTAGTTCTCCATTCTGAGACCAAGCAGAATGAAATTATTCCCTGTTATTTCCATGCCTACCCTGATTGATTATTGTTTACAAGTCTTGCAACCTTAACATTGTCTTATTCTATTCATTTACAAAATTGAATGTGGTAATTGTTCCTTAAATGCCATGTATTCTCATTTCAGGCTATTCGAGTTACTCACGAATCGAGTGCCCATGAAGGTCAGACAGAGGTATTTTATATTTCCTTATGTTATTCTTTCCCTATTTTTGTCTTAATTTAGCTTCTGAGCTTAATTATCTTTTGCCATCAATGGCAGAAATTGCCCTTTTCTAGTTTTACACATTAGTGTAACTAATCAATGACTAAACTTTCATTGGTTTGTTTTAATAGTTGGCTTGTCACATCAGATGTAGCTATGGAACATCACAAGGATCTTACAACATTTAGAGTTGTTCACAACACATTCCAAGTGCATGCTTCTTTAAGTAGCAACATGTTACTTTGGCATCTCATACCTCACATTTTGTTTAGTTGTTTAGACCAGTCATGATGATTACCATGCTGTGTATGTCCAGGTGGCATATAACTTTCTTCTCTGTAAGTGAGAGGTGATCCCAGAAGTATGATACCTTTGTAGGCCTTTCCGGTAGTGAACCTGTCTTCTGCAGCAACTTGCTGTGTCCCCTCAGTTGGACACAAAAGAACTGTTGTTACAGACAAATGAGATTATAAGTGAGTTATAAAGCAAAAAATATGATTATCATTGTTAAATCTACTTTTAAGCAATTCATGAATTTTTCCAGACCTTGGGCAATGTGACTATAATGTACCACTTTTTTTTTTCTTAATTGAGTAGTTTCTGAAACCTGTAGTTTTTGGACTTTTGAAAATAGAGTTCCCTAGAATGCACAATATCTAACTAAAACAATTTATTGACTGAAATAATTGCCATGTAAGTATACAGTTCTTGAGTAGTTAAGACTAAAATGGCTCTTTCCCTTGAACAGAGATAAATCATTGAATATTCATGCTGGAGGTTCATATTTTCTAGAAATCTGAATATTTATCCAGTTAACTCTTATGGATATATCATACATTTGGAGCTGGAAGGGACCTTAGAGGGTCATCTAGTCCAAGCCTCGTATTTTACAGATGAGGAAACAGGTCCAGAGAGTTTAAGCGACTTGTCCAAGATAACTTTTAAGTAACTTGGAAGGAACCTTGGACCAGTCACTTAAACTCTCTAGGCCTCAGATAATTAGTGTTAGAATTGGAATCTAAACTATGTCTTCTAATTCTAAATTCAGGGCATTTTCTGTTCTTCCATATTGCATCCCTTGGGAGTTACTTCTTGGGGTTTGCTTTCAAGTAGAGGGGCCTATTGCTTTTGATATATTAGTTTGTTTTTCCCCAGTGTTGGGCTTCTAACCATTTAAATATCTTTATTTCATAAAAAAATGTCAAATCTAAATAGCTTAAACAGAAGATTAGGGCTTGGTGGAATGTGTGGCCTCCACGTTATATTGCTTTATGCAATTTTAAAGAGATTATGTAAGTTTATTGCATTTTTGCTTTTCACAGTAATATACTAGTAGTAATACAGATAGTTATTAAAACTGAGGAATAAAAAATGCAAATGCTTAATTATTATTATTTCTTGTTTGAAGTGGTAAAATTGCTTTCACAATGTTCAGTTCACCAAATGTTGAGTACCTATTATATGTCTGCCACTAATGCCAGGCCCATTGAGGGCAGGAGGAAAGGCTTAAGATCTAGCCCTTCTCCTTAAGAAACAGAAATTGGGTAGATGAGGGGAGTTGAGAATGGAAAAGGATAAGTCATATATAGATAAATAGTTGCTTATAATGACAAAGGACAATATAATTCCAGTGTCCACATGAGTAACTCTGATGAGTGTAGTAACATTTTGGAGAAGAGAAAGGTGGCTGTAGATTTAAATAGGAGACCTTGAGCTGGAACTTGAAGGATCAATAGTAGGCAGAGGTCCAGGGAGGGAGGGCATTCTAGGAAGAGGCTAACAGATAGCAAGAGCATAGACATGAATGTTGAGCCATACCATGAACACTGTCATCTTTGTATTCTAAAGGATAGTGTGTGCATGTATGTGTGTATGTATATGTATAACTTTTTGGCAAATAGTATGATTTAACTTGAATTTTGTAATTGAGGTTAGTCATAGATTGTATGAGATACATTGTGATGTAATGGAAACAGCCCTGGACTCAGTCAAGAGAATGGAGTTGAGTTTAAGTCTTACCTTAGATACTTATTAGTTATGAAACTCTGGGCAAGTCATTTAACTTTTCTGAGCGTCAGTTTCCTCCACTGTGATAGGAGGCAGGGAAGACCTATAGTCAAGAAGAATGATTAACAGTAGAGTGTTAAGACTACTTCTTGAAGGTGATCTGAGGAGGATACTTGTGTATGAGATGGTAGGAGTGCTTGAAACATGAGAAAAGAAATTGTATTTTGGTACCTAGGTAGAGAAATCACTCTGAACAGAGTAAGAGAGGAAGCTTGCTTGGAACAAAACCAGCATATATTATATTGACTTTGCCATAATTTCAATTTATATGACCTCAGAATTGAAATTACTTTGCATAACTAGCCATTTTATATATGTAATCTTAATCACTTTGTGATCTCTTTTCTAATGTCTAATTTCTATTTTTTTTTGCTTCAACATTATTTTTCTTAATTAACAGGCTCTTATTCTCTCTTTCTCCTACTCCCTCATTAAAACATATGTAGAATTCCCCACATATATGTATTCAAGCAAAGCAGATTCCCTCGCTGATCAAGTCCAAAAATATATGATTTAGTCTGCTTTTAAGTTTGTCACCTTTCTGTTAGGAGGTGAGTAGTGTATTTCATCTTCATCCCTTTGGAATTGTGATTTGTTATCAGGTCTATTTTGGATTATAATCCTGTCTCCTAAAATACTAGTTTCTTCTCACAATTTGGTATTATTCACAAGCTCAGTGAGCATAATTTATGTAACATCATGGATAAAAATGTTAATAAGACCTCTAAAGAATGATCAGCTTTTACATTTAAAAAATTTTTTGGATGTCTTTTTTGTTTTTACACCTCAGTAATTTTCAGGGTGGCCTTGCTATATAAGACAGGTTGACAAGTCATCAAGCATTTATTAAGATCTTAATATGTGCCAGACACTGTGCTAAGCACTATACCATATCATAAATATGTTTTAGTAGAGATAGTTTTATGACTAGGACTTTTTAGTATATCTACTATAAACTCTCATGAGTGAGGGCCCTACTCCAAATTTAGTAGATTGTATCCTGTTGAAGTTACTTTATAGTAGAGAATATGGATGTTGCAAATGTATTTTTTTATGACATCTAGAAAATTGATTGGAAAAGAAGCTTTTTCTTTTGAAAACTCCTGTGCTTTTTGTTATCCTAGAGACCTTTCACATCTTAAGACTTCATAGACTGTGGGTCTAATTTTGAATGTTGTTGGCTTAAATTCTACCACTTTGGCTATAGCCTGAAAGGTTCCACTTTATACATACCTTATTGAAGCACTGTTTTGTTTTTGTTTTTTAATTTTTGGCAAAAATAAAACTAGAAGGGGAGATCAAGGGAAAGTACAGTAAAAATAAGGAAATTTAATTTTCTTTGGTGGCTACCAGAAAAGCCTAATGCAGCTTTTTTCTTTGATACTTGATGCATCTGTAATCTTACCCATATGAGTAATCCTTCCAGTGATGCAGATTACAGCCCATCCATGCCTGTCCATCCTGTGTGACTTTTATTTGTACAAACCTAGCACAAAAGGTCCATTCAACATGCCTGGGTGCCTTAGGATGTCTTGACAGTGGAGCATGCAGGTTGTCCACAGGGTATTAGAAGCCACATAGTACTAGTAAAAGAAGACTGACCTTAATTAAAGTCCTAGAGTCCGAATTTGAATCCAAGCACTGCTCAGGTCACCATGGGCAAAAAATTTAACCTCTCTGTGTCATAGTTTCCTCATCTGTAAAGTAAGGGGATTAGGCTTTCTAGGCATACATCTCGATGACACCGTTTGTGCCACTTCTGTGTAATCCTTCATTGATAATGTGTTACAGTTAATGACTACCGTATCCTTTCCATTGTCCTTTGGGTAATCCTAACCCTCCATTCATTGAAGACTAATATTTCCTAACTTGCAGCCATATAACTTCAGTGGAAGAATATTAGTGTTAAAAAGATCTTGACTTTCATTTCTGGGAGACGCTTTGGGTCATTAATAGAAATATTAAATTTCTTAAAGGCAATCTAACTTGCATTCTTCCTCTTATTCAATTCTAGGACCAGCTCATTGTCCATTAGAACCTACTCTGCTTTTTGGTTGTTTACTGTTAAAAAGTATCTGATTTGGTAGAACAAAATGATACCTTAAAGGTTTTCCTTCAGCCAGGTCTCTCTCAGAGATATATATCAGAATCATACAAGATCTTCAAAAGATGTAGCAACAGAGATCACTTTATTCTGATTATTAGTATCAAATGAGAGTTAAAACAGGGAGAAATTTGCTTGACAAAGGTATTTGTAACTAGCTTGAAGGATGTCTATTACAAAGAGTTCAGAATGAAGAGAATTTCCCTCTACTTGGAAAGGTCTTTCAGATTCTCCTGATCACAGATAACATTATGCAGATTTCATCAAAGACAGCAACATTACAAGAACTCCTAAATGAGATCTATAATCATTGAAGAGAGTTTGGCCGAACTAATCACACAGGAAAAAACTAATGAATGGAGTGTTTGTATTGATAGCTCAGCTCCATGTGCAGTTGAATAGACAACCCATACAGCTAGTCCATTAGTACATATAATTTGGAAAAACCATGTAAACGCAATCTTAGCATTGTATTAATATTGATAAAAGTATAGTGTTTCCCATCAGGGAGGCTAGTCCTCCTGCACTGGTCCGACTACATCTGGAGCACTGTGTTTAGTTCTGGTGCCCTTGACATTGGAAAGATTAATAAATGTTTGTTAAAAGTAGTTGGGTGTCAAATTTTTGAAGTGAGATTGTCAAAATTGAAGTTATCTAAAGGAGAACAATTTAGGATGGCAAAGAAATTCAGAATAATGTCATGAGAAACAGTTAAAAGATACTGGTAATGTTTATTCTGGAAAAGACAATGCAGTAGAAAGAATGCTGGATTTTTTTGTAAAGAAAACTAATCAATTAATCAATCAGTAAATAATTATTTAGTGCCTGCTATGTGCCAAGCACCATCTAAGTGCTAGACCAGAATCTTTGCCCTTTTATTTATTGACTTATGATTTTACCTCTCTGGGCCTTAGCTTTCTTATCTACATGTTGGGCCAGTTGGAAGAGATTAACTGTGAAGTCCTTTCTAGAATTGAATCTGTAGTCTTATGAAGACTTGGGGGGTAGGGGGGATGAAGGAGAGGGATTGGGGTTTTGGGAGAAAAATATATATTGTCAAATATTTTAAGGACTTTCATATGGAAGAGGGATTAGACTTCTGTTTGTTTCCAGGGGTCAGGACTGGGACCGAAGAGTGGAAGTTACTGGGAGGCAAATTTCAGCTCATTAGAAAACGTTCTTCAACAATTAAAGCCACCTGAAAATCAAATGGACTGCCATGTTGAGGTGTGTGCCATAGTCAGGGGTGGTTTTCAGATTGAGCTTGGGTGACCATTTTGGGGGATATTGTGGAGCAGATCCATCCATGGTATAGAAGGCTGGATTTAGAGTCCTTTCCAGCTTAGAGCTTTTATTATTCCAAATAGGTCATGCTTATTGTTTTCCTGTCCTTAGTTTACCTGTCTGCTACAGCTTGTAGTACCCTATCCCATATTCCATGAGCTTGATCTCAGTTCTGCCAAGAACTGGCAATGTGACCCTAGACAACCCACTTTTCCTCCCTTGGCCTTGGTATCCTTATCTCTGGAGGAGAGAAGTTAGAATAGATGACCTCCAACATGTCATTTCTCACTCTAATGAACGACTCAAAATATAATTAAATACCAGAAAGATTCTTGACCAAGAGAGCAGTCTGGTATGGTGGAAAGAGTGCTGATCTGGGAGTCAGAAGAGACTTGTGTTTGAATCCTATTTCTAACATTTACTAGGACTGTAACCATAGGCAAGCTCCTTACCATCAGCTTCCTCATCCCTAGAAGTGATATTCATAATATTTTTAGGTATTAACTTGTTGTAAAGCTTAAAAGAGATCATTTATATAAAACATTTAACAAACCATAAAATGCTATATACATGTCATTTGTTATTAAAAGGTTGGGAATAGATATACTAGAATATGGCACTGAATAAACCAGGATTGATAAACTGGAAAAAGTTTCATTTTGTTGCTCAGAACATAAAACTCTAGACTTCTTAGCTGCCGTAATAATAAGAGCTGACATTGAGATAGTGATAGAAGGGTTACAAAGTGATTTTTGTGCCTTATTTTATTTTTATCCCCACAGCAGCCTTGTAAGGTGGCTAATGCAAGTACAGTTGTCATTATTTTACAGATGTGGAAACTGAGGCTAAGAGCTTGAGTGACTGGCACAGGTGACTTACTAGTGATCTAGGAATTAGTAGGGGAGCCAGGCAAGATTTCTTCTGTTTTCAAGCCTGCTGCTTATTTCACTTACAAACATTGCTTTATCTGATGATAGGAAGAGAAAAGGAAGTTATTTTGGGAAAGAAATAGGGACTTGAAGCTCTCTCTCTTCTGGGTGAGTGGTGGTCATCTCTTCTGATTCACCACTATGCCCTGTGCTGATTGTTGCTGAAAGATTAAGGCAAAGATTGGCCTCTCTGGTCAGAAACCTCCTCATATCAAAATGTGTTACTCAGACTTCATCTTCTGTTAATAGTGAAATTGCCAATAATATAACCATGTGAAGTTGTGCTAATTTTGTAGGTGACCATCCATGGCAAATGACCTAATATCTGCTAGCCCTACTCCTTGCTTGCTGTGTGACTTTGGGCAATAATAATAATGACTGTTTATATAGTGCTTTAAGGTTTGAAAAAGCACTTTACACGTATCCTCAGAGTAACTGTTGGGCGTCCCTGTTTTACAGATGAAGAAAGGGAGATGCAGAAAGGTCAAGTAACTTCCCAGGGTCACAGATCAATGCCTGGAACTCAGTAGGTGCTTAATAACACTTGTCAGCTAGCCTCCAGATCAACCAGTCTTTCCTCTGTCACATATATTGCCTCTCAGGTCATTCCCCCTAATGGAGTCTCACCTCTCTCATTTATAAAATGACAGGATTGGAGTAGATGATCTTTAAAGTCCTGTCCAGTTCCATACCTGTGGTTCTGTGGTAGGAGAACAGGCAGAAAGGTAGGAGGAGTAGAAGCAGAGAAGAATATGATTTTATTAAGGTATAAGTTCAGTGGAATGGAGACAGAAAGCATTGTAGTATATAATATATATATAATAATATAATATAGTATCTCTCTTGAATTTAGCAGAAAACAAGGCCAGAAAAAAAATGTGTTGGAGATTTGGTATTTATTAATGTAATTTAGAGAGGAGTGAGGATAATATGAAGAAAGTTGTCCCAGATGTTAAAATGGTTAAAATAAGCCTTAAAAGCTGATTTTTAAATCTTTGTCACCATTTTATGTGTATGAATAAACTTGCCTGTTTTCCCCTTAAAATATTCCAGATTAGACAACATGTTCCAGGCTTACATTTATGAAATATGTTCATGTCTGAAAGAAATAATTAAGTGGTAAACTAGTTGTTGGCCTAGAGACAAAATTTGGGATAGAAGACTTAGCTTTTTAGTCTTGGAGGCCTCCCAGTAAACTATATGGAACCATTTTGTGGGTGACTTTGTATTTAAAATGCTAATAAATTAGAGCTTTAGTTATTAGGCTATTGCATTCACAAAGGAAAATTATTATTAAAAAATGGAGATTTTGCATAACCAGCATTTGAGAGCTGCAACTTTTATCTCTTGAAGGTAAGTTTGTAAAACATTACTTGGTAAAATTTAAATTTTTGATTCTTTTTATGCATATTTGACTGAGCAGTGTATGTTCAGGTTCTTTCTGTAATAACATTCTAAGCTGAAATATTTCAATTATTGGTTATTACATTTGAATAAATAATATTAGCATTTATGTAGTGCCTACATGTAGCAGGCACTGTGCTAAGTGATTTGCAAGTATTGTCTAATTTGAACCTCACAGTAATCCTAGGGGATAACAAAGGCAAACAAAGGTTAAATGACTTGCCCAGGATCACACAGCTAGTTTTATCTGAGGCCACATTTGAACTCAGCTCTTACCAACTGTGCACTGTGCACAGCATTATTTACTATAGTGCCACCTAGCTGATTAAATGCTTGAGATTTCCCTGTTTAATATGCGTTTCATGAATAATTAAAATCTGATTTGTTTTATATAAACAGAAAGTTTTATATTCTACTAGTGTGATCTTAATTATAATTTAGGACACTTCTTTTAACGTGAATTACTGTAGCTGCACTTGGTAAATGCTGCAGTTCATGAGACCTAGATTACAAAAAGCTGTGTATTTGTCCAGTGACCAAAGGGCTTGACAGTATGTGTACAGAAGTAGGAGGTTGGAATCTATACTGACTAGAATGCTTTAGTGTGGAAATAGGGTGGATTGATGATTTTTAAGATTATTAAGAATGTTTATTAAATTGGAAACATTTTTATAGTGCTTTTTACCACTCTTAGAAACACACCTTTGTTGAGTGATAATAGATTCTTAGAGTTGGAATGGAAATTATTATAATTTAAATTTTACTCCTCCCTAAAGGTAGAAAGATGGTAAATTCTCACATAATAATGCTGACATTTTAAAAAGTATTTCAAGATTTAGTATATACTTCTCTTAAAACAATCCTATGAAGTGGGTAGTACAGATATCCCCATTTTCTGATTAGGAAACTGAGGCTTAGAGAAGTAACTTTCCCAAAGTAACATGGCTAGTAAATGTTAGAGCCAGAATTTGAACCCAAGTCTCCTTGTCTGTGACTCCAGAGTTCTTTTCTGAGGGAATAGGTGGTGTAGTGGCTAGAGTACTGACCTTGAGTCAGGAAGACCTAAGCTCAAATCCTGCCTCAGACACTTACTAGCTTTTGTGACTCTTTGCAAGTCATTTGTGACTCTCTAAGCCTGTGTCCTTATCTGTAAAATGGGGATAACAATAGCTCCTGCCTCCCAGGGTTATTGTGAGGATCACATGAGACAATTTTAAAAGCACTTAGCACAGTGCCTGGCACATATTAAGTGCTATATATGTTAGTTATTATTAATTTCCTAAAGCTAAGCTTCTTCATTATCATTATACTGCTTTCAGTTTCAGGTGCCTTCCTCTACCACCCTTCCCTGCTCCTTTTACACTGTTATCATGTGCATTGTTTTCCTGGTTCTGTCTACTTCATTCTTATCAGTTCATATTAATCTTTCCACTTCTGAATTCATCATATTTATAGTTTACTATAGTATAATAATATTCCGTTACATTCATGTACCGTGATTTGTTTATCCAGTCTTGAGTTGATGGGCATCTACATTATATTCAGTTGTTTACTAAAGGAAATGCTTTTATGAATATTTTTTGGTGTATAGGGGAGGCCTTTCTTTGATCTCTTTATATGCCTAGCATTGGAACCACTGGGTCAAGGAATATGGACATTTTCATTCACTTTTCTAAAATATAATTCCAGGTTATATAATTTTAAAAAAATACAACCCAGAAATGCAAGACTTTATATTTATCCTTGCTAGATTTCATCTCATTTGGTTTTGAGATCTATTAAGAGAAAAGCCATATAATGAAAATGTCAAGAGTCCTGAACTTAAAGTAACTTTGAGTCCTGTCTTTGCTGTTTACTGCTTTTGTAACTTTAAATAAATTATTTAATCTTTCTGATTCTCACTTTCCTCATCATGAAATGAAGGATGATCTCTAACCTTCCTTCAAGTTCTTATTAATTTATATAGTTAAGCATGCTAAATCATGAAATTGTTTATAGCATTTCATAGTTCTCTAGCTGTCTCTGTGCTCTTAGGTCTTTTCTAGTATATTTTCTCAGGAATCCTATATACATTTAATACTTATTGATGTATAGTTTCATGAAGATTGAAATATTTGCTCCTGACCTAAATGACAAATATAATGATATGATACTTGTCTGGGGCTAGGAGTGGTTTATAATTAAATTGAGTACTGAGTAATTAAATATAGTACAGTTCAGTGATTTCAAAACATCATCTTTATGAGAAGTATCTCGTAGGTACTACTGTGGATTCGTGGTGAACTTAATGAACACTATCTCATCATATAGCAGTGAGCCAGTTGTTGAAGCTTAGCTTTACTAGAACCTCAGGTAGTTAGTTCCATATTGTTTTCCATTGTTGCATTTCTCAAATCAAATTATTTAAAATATATTTAAAGACCACCCATTGTTCAAGATGAGAGAAGCCAGATGTTTCTTTGGTGTGATATTGGTAAAGATATTGGAAGATATCGAGTGAAAATAAATTAATATTTAATAAATTACAGCAGTGATGATTTAACTTTATTGGTTAGATAATAAATAAATACCAATTTGTATAAAGTGCTGTTTTTCTCTGCTTGGTTCTAA